AGAGTTGATGTGCGGTAATACACACATGGTAGGTGTTTCGACCTCAGACCAGTTCAGCCAATCCTTTCATCTTGTTCTAGTAGGCAAGCTCGCGCCAGACTTGTTTGGATGATAAAAACACTGACTTATAGATCAGTGGACTTTTAGAAGACATTCTATAGGTTAAACATGCATTCAGTCAGCTCTAGATGTTACGAATGGAAATGAATGCACGGCATATCCCTGAAAAATTATTCAACGGTGAGGTGAAATAGCCCTTTAAGTTTTATGGCCCTAACAAATAAAACCGTCAAAGGTCGACTCATTTACAAAACCGTCGATCGATCGAAGAACGGCACACTTATAATACTGTCAAAACTTCAGGCTTTGAAAGCATGAACCTTTCCCATTTAAGTCACCCTTATTGAAACGAATTGCTCAAAAGGTGAATTGTAAGTACAATGATGTCGAGTAGGGGGATGCACAGATGTGAGAATAGGTGGGTTGTATTCTGCGCTTTGATTCTAGAAAAACCACTCACGAAAGACTACAAACAGATGTCTGGAAGCAAAGATCACACGGAAACTATTTTGATTTCTAGTTACCTTTTATTTAGTGCCTATTGTTTTTTTCATGGCAGGTTATAGAGCACCCGTCAACGTTGACATTGATTGCTGATGCCACGTATAAAACATGGCTAATAAAAAGGCTAAGCGAAGGACCAACATAGTGCGGTGGTGAACACGTTAGTCCCCAGAAAGGGTAATACGTCGTTCGGTTCTCACAGCAGACACCTGAGGTCTGAAGTTTTGCAAATATTTCAGTATGGTTGTGGTTATACTACGGTTTCAAGCTCATTGAGTGCGAATAAGTCTTATGTGGCATTAAATGATGCTGCCCAAACGAATAGGGAGCACGTGATGAAGTACGGCTTTGCAGCTCCTGCGTACCCATTTGTTTCATGTAGTTTTTTCATGTAGTTGTTTCATGTAGTTAATGTAGTCCGCTGGCTACTTTTAATGACAAACATCCTCCATCTGTCTTCATCATGTTCTTCTACCATTAAGCATACCGCTAACGAAGACCAAACAGTCACAGCAGGATGAATAATATGCAAGAAAATGCAAGGCTAACCGTGTTAGGAGGAATGACTCTCCTTGACGGTGCTCGCTCGTTATTAGAATTGGGAACAAGTTTCTCACCATCTGAACCCATTTCTAAGGTAACCTTGTGTAGGGTCGCATGCAGTTTACATGGATTTCAACATAGACTTCGCAAAAAAGCTAGATTGAGCGCTAAATATACGCGAACAACAACAAGTAGGAACACTACCAATACCACCGTTTCCTCAGCTGTTCATTAGATCACAAGAACCAAACAATGGAGTTAACGCTAAATTTCGGATATTTACGAATGAAACCTTCAAAATCCTTAATCATTATTGCACAAAAAGATATAGCTCTAACCTCATCGAAGTGCAAAAATGTGGTATGCGGGAGGCACGAGAGCTGGTAAGGTTGAAAAACATAAGACTATCGGTTAGTGATAAGGGCAGAGAGTTCGTTGTAATACTCAACAATTAGATGTTGAGATAACGGAAAAGCACCTTGAAGATGCTTCCCTTTATAGTCTGTCGTCTGAGAAGGATTTTAAAAGTCAGCACCGAAAAAAAACAACGAATGGGGCAAGAGCGGTTGGGTTAAAACCATCAGTTATCTCTCATCTCAAAGTTGACTTACCAGCATGTCTCGTCCTCTACTTATCAAAACCCATAAGTTAGTCTCCAGCGATGATCTTGTGTCTACCGTTATTTTAGGTTAGACCTATCATTAGCTGTGTAGGCGGGCCAACGGATAGAATAACGTGGTTTACAACCGTAACACTTACCAAGTTGTTAAAGCACATTCCAGCCCAATTAACAAACACCCATATGTTTCTTGATCCTCTACGTGACGTGCGACCCAACACCACGTACGTGATCGAGTCCTTCGACGTCACCACCGTTTTTACAAACGAGTCGAATGACTCTGCTATGCAAGCCGTCAGCGAACTCCTTATACAACACGAAGGAGAAATAAACATGTATGGCTTCACGGTTCAGAAGTTGATGACACACTCAAAGGAATGTCCAAACTGGTCATTGACCTTCTTCAGATGGTCCGGGACGTATAAAGCACAAATGAAAAGGCTGACCACGGGACAGCGACTGTCAGCAAGCCTTCTCATGGCATCTATGTCTAAAATGGGAACACCAGTTACTGATCTCCGGCCATTACTTTACTGTAGATATATGATGATTGGTTTGTCATGTTCTCTACTCAACAAATGTTTTGAGTTGCTGAATGAACAGGCAGAATGTATTAAGTTCACCGAAAAGAAACCAAAAGGAAACTGGCCTCTTACTGTGGACGTGCAAACAAAACGGATACATTACGAAGTAGCGATAATAAGAAGGCCAAGTAGCAAAAGCATACTCGTTCTATCTCATCTCTCCTCACACCCCTCACACACAAAAAGGGCGCTTGTAAGAAGCATGTTTCAAACAGCAACCAGCGTGTTCACAGGAGGAGTGTAGAGAGAAGTGAAGTCGTCTCACAGAGAAGTGTTCACAGAGAAGAGAGAAAAGTCCCGGAACTTCGCGCGGTAAATAGATATTTCTAACGGCTACGAAACTGTGGCTCGAGATAGGTGTAGAGGAAGCCCAAAGCCCGGAAACGACAACTCTAGCAATAATAAGGTCTCGTTTATCCTGCCCTCCATCTCACATGGAGTAAGTGCAGCTATAAAACGATGCTTAAGAACGGGCGGTTTAGAGAATTCGGTAAACGTAGTTGAAATGCCACCGAGTACTCCTAGGCGCCAGCTAGTTCGTAACAGCCTATACGATCGTCTATCTGCAACGCAAAATTGCATATTTTGCTCTAATGGTAGAGACGGTAATTGCATGAGTTCGGGCACTGTTTATCTGACCTCTTGTAAAGCGAGTGGGGACGAATGCATTGGCGGAGCGAGCAGACCACTCTGCAATAGTATAAAAGAACACCTAGTCTGTAAACGTAAACCAAATACTCCATTAGGCGCGCATGACTTTCGCTGAGGAAGATTAGAACAGCTGATTATTGTCGCATATGGTTGATGACTACAGCACCCTACATCAAAAATTGATGCGAAGAAATAGGCTAGGTCGCTTATGACCTCTAGACATTCCTCCCTGCCATATATTGTAAGGTTCTTGGCATCTATCCAAAGGCCTCAAGAAGTTTGCGCGCTGGTGTTTTATCTCCCGTGCGAGGATATTGATTTATACATCAAAATCGTCTCCGCTATGCTTTGTATCCTATGCGTGTCTAGTCGAGCACTTTTTCTTGCTTTTCGTTTGCCATCTAGGTGTTCGGATACATATATACGGATACATAAAGGCCTTCCCGTTTCGCCAAGATATTCATCTCCGCAAGTACTGCAAGAGATCAGGCATATTCTACCTGAACTCATGCAATCACCGTTCCTGCCGTAAGGGCAAAATACGTAATTTGGCGTTTAACATGTTATACAGGCGGCTATCCCAGCAAACTGCATATCACTATAACCTTCCAGTCTCTGAAGACGGCGATACTGCCGAGACATCAGCTACTGTTGTACTGTATATTTTGTATAGAAGTAAATGTATGCTCTATAACAACCTAGCGATTGCTGAACAAAAAAACGACGGATTTATAATAATCCAATGTCAAGGTTAATAGAAAGTCGATCCTGGAAACTATTTGTTATTGCTGCATCAGATTGACATATACCACAAGTATTTGAATTCGTAGATACTTGTACTTATTTGTTCGAGCTGGTGCGGGAAGCCAACTAGTTAGCGATGCAGAGCAATACCCGCACTGTATCCTACATTGCGATTCTCACTTGGGGTATTTGAAGCTTTCAAGCCTAATATCCTTCCGGAATTAAAGTCTTTCAAAAAAAGTTTGTTAACAATGATGTCGCCTACTGAAATCGATTGTTCTCGAACGTTCGATGTGAATCAGTAGTCCACGTTAGATGCTTTTAGGAGCTGCTACAAGGGAGTACTTTATTTTCTACACAACAAAATCTCTTAGTTCCATAGCTAAAACTCTTCACAGATAATAAGTTAGTAAAGGCTGCCTCAAACCGCATGGTTATAGTCCTTCTGGAATAATATGCTAAAAACTAGGATAACTAGCTAGCTCAACTTTTTACAGAGCTTCTATGAAAAAACTCCATCCCATTCACAAAAGCTGGCAATTGCCCGTGTCGTCGCAGGGAGTTCTAGGAGAGCTTTGCTAGGTCTCAACCGCTTCAAAAAAATGAATCGTGCTTATGAAAAACTAAAAGTCTTAAAGTAGTGGAGGATCACGGAAGCAAATCCAAAGACCTTTGTGAACAATAGATCTAAGACAACAAGCCGGGACAGCAATATGCGCTGATGTGTCATCTATGGAAATAGATAAAGGATAAAATAATAAAGAATAACGCTCTTGGCGTTGATCAATCTCTGAGGGATGCGCCATGCATTGTACGTTAGTTAGAGGTGATTGAATACATATACGGGCTTCACAATGATTCGCGGTGGCCTACCGATGTATCGAGCCAGTGCTGCTATCCTCCCAGACAAATCTGGAACCAATTTGCCAACCCCGGAAGGATGAAAGGCTTGGTGAGCCACGGGTGCAGGAATCGATCCCACATGTGTGTTGGAGGGCGCCTCCGACCACTGCGCCACATGCGCCCTATGGAAATAGGTAGTTAAATAGATGCGTATCTAAGCGTGTTTTAAGATAAACTACTCAAAAATTTATCCTTATATACATAACAATAGCTTTGCACCATAGATGGTTCATGCTACTACGCGGCCACAATGGTTTCCATGGCTTTCGTGCGAAAGAAAAACTGGGTGCAAAACAATATAAAAAGGGTAGCACTTCAAGTTATTCTATTTTACGAACTGTTTCTTGTTAAAATGATATAAAGCTTTCTAAGAGTTTCTTCGCTTGGGGATTCTACATAGTATGGCTTCGAGCTCGATGAAAGAGTTTCAGCAACACTAGAAATTGAGCGATGAGCGCCGCCGATCCGAGCGACGAGACTGAGACAAAATTCGTACGAGTAACACAATATGTACCTGAATGCTCACAGTGTGCAAATGAAGGTTACTTTACTATATAAATACATTATTGACTAAAACTACTACTACCACTGTAGACGTACTTTGGCTTAGGGCTTCATCCGTAACAGTCAACAAGATTTCAACTTCTTCACCCTCTGTAAAATCGATAGGCTCCTCACTAGCATAACTGCGTTTTCGTATGTTCTTTGTGCATACTCGCTGAAAAATCGAACAATAAAGACGAAAGAAACGAATGGAGGAAAAGAACGAAGCTGAACTGAAATTGTTGCTTACCGTATCACAACGATTGCAATTATCTAGTCGACAGACGATCTTCACAGTTCCATCGTTTTTAAAACGAAATGCTCTCATTGGAATGGAAAAACCGTTCTGATGCTTTCTAATGCCGCCACGTACGACATATTCTAATGCAGTTCGTGTTGGACATCTGGAAATAACCGTTATGATGACTAGCACATCCAACAGAAAAAACAAATATGTGAAGAAAGAAATTCGTGGGTGAGCTAAAAGAAAGGTATAATAGCCAAAGTTTCACAAGATAACGCACATGCAAAAAGAATAAAGGATAAAGCTCTCGGCTTTGATCAATCCCGTAGTGATGTGCCATGCATTCATCTTCATTAAGCATCGTTTGGAGGTGATTGAATGCATATTTGACCTTTACAATGACACCTGGTGGCCTACCAATGTATCGAGCCAGTGCCAGTATCTTCCAGACAAGTCTGGTGCCAATTTGGCGACCCCGGAGGGATCGAAGACTTGGTGGGCCACGGAGGAGTGGACTGATTCCACGTGTGTGCTGCAGAACGCCTCAGACCACTGCGCCACACACACATGTAGCATTCACAATTACTTATCCATATATTTGGCGCTCATAGTAAAGTAGGTTTTTATCGCGACTTTTACAAATGATCGGGCGAATACCATTTCCCTTACTGCCACAGTCATCACTGCTGCTACTACAACTTCCTTCTTGTGAAAGAGACCACCAGAAGCTATCTGATGACACACGGGATGTTAAAAGCAACTCATAAACGATCACATGTTTTTGGCTGCATGCGGACAGATTCAGGAATTGAACTTCATGGACTTTTTGTCAGCTCTAATTATAATTGACTTTGTAGGTTCCATACACGTGATGTAATTCTAATTGACTTTGAAGTTTCCTACAAATGAAGTCATAGTGTTTGTAACAACATAGGCGGATTGTATGCGATTTGTATCTTGAACGTTGTTTCAAATAAAAGCATGAAATTAGATGAGTGAGAATTACACAGAAGTTCGGGGTCCTTCCAAAGTGGCTGCGAAAGCCATGTCTACTTTGGGAAAACGATGATGAGTTGGTTACCTTTTTGTGCACTTTTGTAACAAATGGCAGAGATAAAATTCCTTATTCGACTGTTGTAATGTTAATTATGTCTCTCGAGCGAATGAAATCAACTTGAATCAATCAGTAGCATCGCGCTACAAATCTGGCTATTAATACTATCGTTAACACTAGAAGCGCGACTAATTACGCAGTGGTTAGTGGTGACCAGGAATACGCAAGTGATCGCTGGTTCAGTCACACACCCTAAACCAACAAGCACCCGACGTCTCAGGAGTCGGCTAATTGATTGCAGTCAATAGTATTGCTATTAGTATTACTACTACTACAGTCACTATTATTATTATCACAACCACAATGATCTGATATATTTGCAACACTCCGGATAGCAGGTGTCTGCGTTGGAGAACGAACGCGCTATTACGCTTACCAGTGGCTAACGGAATTATTGATCCTTGTTGAACGGATCCAGGTCAATCCCACTTACGAGTGATTGCTGATAGCGCTGTTCGATAAAACTAGATGAGAGACAGGCGAAACGAAGGACCCACGTGGTGTGGTGGTGAATGCGTTACTCCTCGGAAAGGACAATAGCGCGTTCGTTCTCCACCGCACACACCTGCGGCCCGAAGTTTTGCAAATATCTTAGCATCATTGTGGTTGTATCATACGTAATATCCAGCCGTTAAAAATGGTAATAAGCAGTAGATAAAAGAGTTAACAGTTTGATTAATATCACAATTGTCGTTGTTGATAGTTAAAGAAAGCTAGTAAAAGGCAGTGAATAAAAAAGTCAACATTGTGAATTTCAACTATAGCCCCAGCTTAACTGGGGTGAATAGCGATTTGGGCTCGCTAGATGAATCTCGTTGACGGGTGATTGTTGATGGCATTGATCGATAGAACTAGCTCAGAGACAGAACCCGCGTGGTGTGGTGGTTAGCGCGTTACTCCCCGCAAAGGACAATAGCGCGTTCGTTCCCCGTCGTAGACACCTGCGGTCCGGAGTTTTGCAAATATCTCAGCATCATCTTGGCTCTGGACTCACTTCTTTTAAGACTCTTGATTTATAATCTGCTGGATTCTGCCTTCGAAGAAAGAAGGTATAACATCTTACAAAAACCTTAACGATATTTTATGTAGTTCAGACGTTGGTTTGTTTGTTCCACGCCGCTCCCAATTACCTCCTTTGCACTCCTAAATCAGTTAATTTTAGGTCCCTAGCGAAAATAATATGCAGAATTCAATAACCGAATGCAGCCGAAAAATTTCCTGCGGCCATTGCTCCACTGAAAGGATAAAGGATAAATCTCTCGGCGTTGATCAGTCCCTGAGGGATGCGCCATGTATTCGGCTTCGTTAAGTGTAGTTAGAGGTGATTGAATGCTTATCTGGTCTTTACAATGGCTCGCGGTTGCCTACAGATTTATTGAGCCAGTACTGCTATCCTCCGAGATAAGTCTGATACCATTTTGCCGACCCCGGACGGATGGAAGGCCTGGTGGGCCACTGGCAGATGGATCGATTTCACTTGTGTGTGACAATGGCGCCTTCAACAACTGCGCCATACGAGCCTCTCACTGCAAGTGATATAGACGACTAGTAATTTTCTATATGGTTGAGCAGACACGACGTTGGTATGAAAATTTCATTCTGCTAGAGTTTCGGTGTTGGTGAGTTTTTCACCTTCTCCAAAGTCGCGTTGGCCTTGGTCGATGGCCAAGAGATCGGTGTTAGCAAGATGTGGTGTTCGTTGCCCACTGAGTCGAATCCAGAGGAGGAACCACCGCTCGAATATTGAGCTTCACTCAGCGATGCCCTGCTATACAGAATGGATGTTGATCTATTACCACCACCACCTATGGGCTACCTTGAAGGACCAGTGTGTCCTGTGGCTGATGGCACTTCATTAACTGGCACATATCGTGGCGATCAACACTATGCAAAATGCAATGCAAATCACACACTGCAAAATTACGAATTACTGTTTCCGAATTTTAACGAAATTCGGTCTTTAGGATTTTATTATACGTAAGTTATTGCTTATTGTTAAAAAGGTTTAGTGGAAGTCGGTTTTTACGATGTCGATTGTCAGACTACGTGGAAACAAATGAAACACCGACTACCACAGGACGAATTACCTGCACGTAGGTCATATTGGAGGCGACAATCGATCGACACCCGTCTTGTATAAAAGGAAAGCTCTGAGTGAAGTTTCCTATTACAGCGGTGGCTCCTGCATTGGACAACTCGATTCAATGGATGCGACAGCGAGCAGCCACAAGGCGACAACGACGTAGGTGTTGATAGACCATCGAGTCAGATCACCGTGGCTTTGACGAAGGCAAATGGGCGCGTAATATTAGCCGTGTAAAGGTTTTTGTATCTGTAAGCCCAATTACATAGAAAATAATTGATTACTGTTATAGGGACTTCATGAAAAGTGGCTTCTAAGCATGAATTTTACAACAGTAGTCTGATATTCGTGTAACTGTTTTTGTAGGAATAAAAACAAAATTTCTATAAACGAGGTCTTCTAGTGCTAGCATTCACCAACATTAGGGTCAAATAGTCTTTTCAGGAACTTTAGTAGGATTGGCTTTGTCCCAAAAGAACCGAGTAATCGAATTATTTCGAATATTCGACTACTAATTATAACAGTTCGATTTTATCGCTTACCCGTTTTCAATTAATGTGATGTTCTCACGACCGTCAGCATTTCGAGCAACACAGTTCGCCACCGTATAATTGCCGTTGGTGTGGTCGTCGTCGAATTCCAGGTCAAAAAACTGACCCAAAATCACCTTATTTTGCTAAATGAAACGCAGTAGTATAAGGATTTTTATGGAAAAACTACTCTATCCAGTTATTACAATCATCGTAAATATTTTACTTGTTTCACAAAATTCCCTTTCCTTACGTGACTTTGGTTATAGAGAAAAAATCGATTCACGGAAGGAAAACAAAAATTTATTCTTCAATTCCACCAGAAATCTTGCTTCTTTTGGCCAAACCTGGGCGTTTAAGCTCAGATTGAACACTCTAGTCTTTTTTGCCTAGTGGATTATATTATTCATAACGAAACCCTTTCAAAAAAATCACCTCGTGCTTTTGCTTTGATCGTAGTTCCATTTTCATGCTAGTAAACGGCACTTCACCTAACGGTCGTATTGTTGTGTAATTCCCCCTTCTAAACGACAATAGAACAAAACAGGAAGAGCAATTCTTCATTTATTTTTCCACTTACCCCACTTGTAAAGCAGTAGATATGGATAGCGTAGCAGTATGATTACTGTAGTCACATGAAATACGGTAAAATTGGTCGTGTTCTGTGATTAGCGCCTTTTCCGTAAAAGTGTTTTGCTTGACCACAATCACATTTTCGTAGACGTAATCTTTCTGAAAATAACGCTCAAAAGGATAAAACTCTCGGCGTTGATCAATCCTTGAGGAATGCGCCATACATTCGACTTCATTAAGCATCGTTTGGAGGTGATGGAATAGCCTTTACAATGACTCGCGGTGGCCTACACGATGTATCGAGCCAGGGCTGCTATCCTCTCAGACAGGTCCGGTACCAATTTGCCGATGCAGGAATGATGGTAGGTTTGGTAGGCCATGAGCGCTGGGATCGATTACATATGAGTGTTGCGGGACTCCTCTGACTATTGCGCCACAAGCGCACTTGCTTACAGAGATATTTTGTTGAAAATGCTCACACATCGAATACATCATCGCTTTTGAAAATCGCTTGATTGTGAAAAAAGACAATATCGGCCTCATCAAATCACTGCAACGATAGTTTTCACAAAACCTTCAGCTTCAGGACTTATTGTCAGCAGGTTGATTAGAATCATGTCACCTTTAAAACCGTAGACTTTGAGGTAAAAGTGATCTTGGCTTAAGTCTTGCGGTGGTGGATCGACCTTATATGATAAAGTGAGGCACCGTAAGAGTACCACATTCTTGTTGAAAAAACCTATCGATCGCAGTATAAATTGCTAACGGTGACAAAGCTTATTTCCTTCCGATCATATCGACGACTTAGTCAAAATTGTTTCATCTTTCGTGAATCGTTTAAAAAATATCTCGGTAAATTCTCAGCTTCATCCCAATCGTGCTGTGGCCTTCATTCATAGCTCGAAGCTTTTCCTTTTGGGAAAAAGTGCCACCGACCTGCATTAAAAGGTTTAATTTTATGCGGTCAAGCACAAGATGAGCACTATTTTCCTGGTCTACAAAGATATCAGTTATGACTATTAAAATGAGTGTAGTCATGCCATGAGGTCCTGCTCAATAGACCCCTCAGTGGTTCATTAAATCATGAAGAAAAACAAATTTGTCAAAACGTCAATGAAAAGCTGGTTCAAATCGATCGACCTTTAGAGGATACGGATTGATTTATTGATTGGTGTTTTAAATTTTGCTATATTGGTTAAATGGGTTCACCTCAGCGAATCGAAAATGATCTAAATAAGATCAAACTTAATCGTTCGGGTCACTTTATATTATTTCCTTACATATTGGCCAATTAAGTTAATCGTTTCAAACTGTAGTTATCTGCCTACTTTTACTGCTAATTGGGCAACACAATAACCACTTTAATGTGTTTGTATCTTTTTTCTGAATCTTCAAGTGACCTTAATGGTTACAATAAGCTTCTAATATCTTCGCTGCCTTATTTTTTGAATTTTGCATTCAAACAACGGAAAACAGTAAAGATTAGTTCTCGTCGTGAAAAATATCCGATTGCAGAACAGTATGAACAATTTTTTATTAGAACTGGAAGAAAGAAGAGTAGCTCTCACGTGTGTCAGCGAGCAATCCGTCGAACTCAGAGGTATGCGTAGCTGAGCCTCTGTTCCATTCATAATAGCGGAACAGTTTTCAAGAGCATTTCGTGGAAAAATCGTTCCATCTATGTGAACTGGCGACGAAACCTAAAAACGTATTCTTCATTGTCCATTTTGTTAATAATGACTTCCGGAATAATCGGTGAGGACTTAAAGAGCCAAAAAAGGAATCCTTAATCAAGTGTTATAGAGAACTTCTCTCTATAAAAGTTCTCTATCTATCTGAATAATAGTATTTGATGTCCAAATATGGCCCTCTCGCAC